GATCCCACATACAGACCGGCCGCTCACTGGCTGAGCGAGGTGCGGGCGCAACACCGAGGGTTGCGATCCCGTTGCTGGTCCCAGTCCGGTACGGGGGCAACACTGAGGGTTGCAATCTGTTGCCAGTCACAAGAAAAGACAAAAAGGGGAAAAAAAAAAAAGAAAGAAAACTCATCAAGCAAATGTCTACTTACTCTTTCAAATCAACAGTGGTGGCCCTCCAGTTTAAGCTCGGCTTTAATCTCTTGGTCATTTGATTCTTTCCAAAATTAATTGGGTTCTTCACCAGTGGACTCTTGCCTGAACCAGAAATAGATTTATGGAAGGTGGGGGCTTGTTCCTTCTTGGGTGCCTCCTCAAGCTGATATTTTTCCATTTTTTTGCCTTCACTGAAGCTAATCTCCTTTATAAAAAAAAAAATTAAGAGTAATTTTTACAATGATATCACTTCTCAATTATCTAGTGTTATCTGAAGATTAACACTGGTGATAAATTCAAGAAAGGACATCTCAGAGGCATCTAACTTGTGTTGCTCAGCAACACACACTAGATAAGGGCAACTTCAAGACTAAGGCCTCTATCAGGGTTAGGCAGACAGTAATGTGAAGTTTTCAAACTCAAATCTCTGCAGCAGCCCACACAGACACAACAGCAGAATTGGACCTACTCACTGCTCACTTCCACTAGCAATTAAACTCAAACCCTATACTAATTGGGACATAACATATGCAAATTGCTTAAACCAAGTATAAAGGGAACATCTGGGAGGTAGCCAGAGACAAAAGACACATTACACACAGAGCAAGAAACATAAAAATTTTAAGAGACTTCTCATCAGAAACAATACAGCCAGAAGAAAAAAAGAGCAATATCCTTAAAGAACTGAAAAGAAAACAAGAATAAAAACTTGTCAACCCCGAATTCTATAATGAGGCCAAAAAAAAAAACAACCTTTCAAAAATGAAGGCAAAACAAAGACATTCACAGATGAACAAAACAGAGAATTCACTGCCAGGAAGTCTCAGAATTAATGTGCACTAGAAGAAATGTTAAATGAAGTTCTTCAAACACAAGGGATATAATACCAGACAGAAACATGGATCTACATAAAGAAATAAAAAGCTGCAGAAACAGTAAAAATAAATATAAAAGACTTTTTGTGTTACTTTTAAAGATTCAAAAATATAATTCACTATCTAAAAGAAAAATAGTAATAATGTTTTGAGGGGTTTATAGCATGTAAAAATAAAATGTATGACAACAATAATACAAAAGACAGGAAGAGACACCCAGGTATATTGTTGTTTCTTAAACTATTTGTGAAATTGTATAATATTACATAAAGAAAGATATGATAAATTAGAGATATATATCATAAGCCCTAAGACAGCAACTAAGAAACTTTAAGAAGAAATATAACTGAAAAGTGAATAGCATAAATTAAATGGAATCACTTTTAAAAGCTCAATTAATTCAAAAGAAGTAGAAAAAGAGGGAAAAACAAAGAACGAATGAAACAAATAGAAAACAACTAGGAAGACAGTAAATTTAAATTCAACTTTATCAGTAGTTACATAAAATGAAAAAGGTTTAAAAACCTCAAAAGAGATATGATAAAACTGGATGAAAAAAGGAAAGCCCAACTATTTGTGCTTTAATGAAACTGCTTTATTTATAAAAAAAAAAAGACATAAATACATCAAAAGTTAAAAGTTGGAAAAAATAGTTCATGCAAACAGTAATCAAAAGAAAGCAGGAGTGGCTACATTAAACTTAGACAAAACAGACTCCA